TTAAATATGATATTCGAAAATTTTCGCGGTTGCAATATTTCCTCTGATACTTCGTATAAGGAAGTAATTATGATTTAAAAAGTTTTCAAACCTAACTTTCCAAATACCATAGTTTCCTTCATGCCACAAAAACTGTTACTACCTTTAGTGCACATATGTTGGATCTCATAAGATTCTACTCCTTTGTACGTTAGTTTAAATGTAATTAAATGCAATGATTTGCTGACTTTTACTTGTCTCTCTGAATATTTTCCAATGAAATTTTTCCAATTATTTATCTTTGGTTTGTTTTACATTTTAGACTGGGAATAAATTCCTAATTTTACGCTTGTTTTTAAGTTATTGAACATGTTACTGAGGACTTTCGGATGGCCGAATAGTTAGAGTGACGCCATGCCGTACCGACACTAGACCACATGTACAAACGTCCATGCCTTTTCCAAAATTCGAACCCGGGCCCTTCGGCAAGGCAGTTAGCGACACTAATAATGCCATATTTCCTGTCTCAAAGTTCATCACCTTCTAGCAAAAGCGAACTCTCAATTATAACACCTTGTCAAAGGCGGAGTTCAAGACTTCAAGGTTTTTTACAAAATATTTTCACACCACCTGAGTGCCACCTGAGGTAACCACTGACCTAACTTTGTTGTAAAAGTCCTACAGTGTTAATATTCATCCTGGCAGAAGGAAATATTTCCTCCGTGTAAAAATATAAATATAAATAATACACGGGCATACAAGGCCTGTGTATAAGGATAGATATGTTGATTACAAACATTGTCTTGTACAAGTTACATATGATAGTTACATAAAATCATGACAGCTATGTGTACATTTAAACATTATCTGAATTCATATTTACAATACTTTTACTGAGATAATCAAATTAAATTTGTAATTCATTTACACATTGACTGGATTTTCAATATCATTTAAACTGCTTTACAATATTATTTTTATCAAGTGTTAGTTTTATCAAGTATCTGAGAAAAAGAAATCTCCAGATGAAACATTTGAACTCCTTAATGTTCTAAATTTTATACTGTAGGTAAATTTCTTAGCAGAAAGTGAGTATGTCAGCACTTTTCCAGTTCTTTTGGAAAATATGGCTGCTTTCAGGAATTTTGTAGAATACTGATGATTATGGTTCTAACGCCGTTAGTATTTAAGCGTGAAAAATCTTATTAATCTCAAACGGTCAGATGAAGGAGTAAACTTTGAAATGCTTTCTAAATTTGTATTTTCTCACTCCTTTCGGCATGCGTTAGTGGTGTAACGACATCAAAAACTGCAAATTGTGAAATTAACTCGGTCCATTTTTGTCGTACAGGAATCAAACTTCATGTATTTTTTATATATCTCTGGTATCAGCGATTTCAATAAAAAAAGGAAGGTACCTAGATGTTTTAGAAGTCCCATAATGAAAAATTGCAACCTTCTGCGGCCAATCGTTTTTACCTTATGCGAGATACATACGTATGTACGTACAAATGTCATAAAAAGTCCATTTTGAATCAATTTTACAATTCGTTTTGTAAAAAAAAAATACTCCTTTTTTCTTTCTGTACTTATAGACAGTACGCAAGAAAAAAAGCAGTCAAAAGGATTTGAGGCTAATCAAAATGGATATTTCCTCTGAAATATGATACCTGAAATTTTTCGCTATTACAATAATTATTTTACTTCGTACAATGAAATAAAGCTTTCAATAAAAGGCAAAACGATTCAAAAAGAAAAAGATATATAAAATAATACAACAAAACTATGGCAACTAGAACCTGTAAATACCTTACAGAACACTTACAGTTATGGAATAGAATAAATAAACAGGAGAGAAATGTGAAATTTAGAAATGCTGTCAATTTATTAAGAATGAAACCTTTAATAATAACGGCGCATTAGGACTAATTCGTACTTTCGTTATACACTTTTAATGTAAAATATTTGTATTTTTATTAAATTGCAAATTTGAAAACTCGCGATTTATTAAGTATAAGATTGAATTGAAGATATTTAAGTATATCTAATATTAAATGAAATTCACAGTTATAATATTATCCTACTTAAAATGAGGCAATAAATCGCAAGTAATTCTTTTTAATGTTTTTTTAATTCTTCATGCTTTACATAAACGCCATTTTAGCAGCCATTATTGTTTTCATCATAATATCTTTAAGCAAATACACTTCATTAAATAAGGTATTTGGAAAATATGGCTAGCTATTTAAAATAATGATGTTAATAAGAAAGGGGTTTTTAAATATTTTTTTTCCAGACATTTACTTTGATTTGTAGAATTTTCAGAAAGTACGTTTCTCAAATTTTATGAAAACAGTTTCATCGCTGGGACAGAAATGTTCTGTAAATACAGAATTTGCACACCGTAGTGCAGAAAGTTCGGTTAGTAAAATGTTAAAAATGATGAATTAGAGGTGAACACAAAGAGTTCTACAACTAGATCTACAACAGTTATAGATATATTAGATAATGAATTTACTGACTGAGATAATTTTAAAGACTACTAAAGAATTCAGAATTTTTTCGATCCACTTTCGGGAGCACCAGCAGAACAATTATTCTTTTTTTCGAATTTCCTTCGAAAATCCTTCCCTTTTGAAGTTTTATATTTAAACTCCCATAACTAGGAAAAAAGGTTTTTGTAATTAAATTGGTAATTAAATATATAAATATACATTACGTACATCCCTTCAAGCTATGCATGTAGGAATATGAAATGTTTTAATTTTAATTTAATAAGCCATAATTAATAATGTATTGATTGGATTTACTCTCATTATATAAAGAGTTTAAGTTGATGTTTATGCGGCTTGGTCAGCTAAAACACTGAAAATTTCTTCATTAAATTCTCGAATATTTTGAAAAATTCTGCATATGGACGAATGGTTTAATAAACGAATTACTTGACTGTGGGAATATTACAGAAGTATTACAACACTGCAGAAGTAGTTTATTGATCAGGTGTTGTGTACTTTCATTTGAACGTAAACATTCTTTTCATAAGGTATTTTCTCCTTCCTTTCTGCATGCCTCCGTGGTCTAATGGTAGCACACTCGGCGCGTATTCGAGAAAGAGATTCAGGTTTGAATCCCGGCGAGGGCACTGCTCAAATTTACCTAATGACTTTATAGTGGCGCCCGAAGAGGGATGGTGGATGATGATTCTTCTACCCCAGGATTTAGCGATTGGGTCCCCTAATCCCCAGTAGCCCTTTAAAAAGGGATATTTTCTCCCTTCTTCCAGCATGCTTTCGTGGTGTAATGGTTAACACAATCAGCGCGTATTCGAGTTGGTACAGGTTCGACTCTCGGTGAGGGCATTGCTAATTTTGTGTCTTCTGCTTCAAAACAATTAATGTAACTCCTAAAACCTGTAGTTTAAGAAATCAGTACCTTGCAGTACAATGCAAAACGCAGCGAAATTCCTTTCATGAGAAGACGTTCTAACAGCGGGTATCAAAAGAATTAAGCAGAGAATGCTTTTGGCAATAAAATTTGTAATCCACGCAAACGAACACCAAAACTAAATGAAATGGTCTTATATCGTAAGCAAAATCTGAAGTTTTGTTGTTATATTTTTGCGTCGAGATACATATTTCGAGAAATTCATTGGAATAAAGAATATTTAGAATGAAAAAATGGAGCTCATTTTATTCCCAGAAAATAATACTTAGTGGCCGAATTTGTGAAATAATGAGATATCTTAAATTGAAAGTTATTGACATTGTTATTTTAACTACATCCAGGGTTTGAAAGCTGATTAAATTTTCATTATTCACTGGAATTATCTTAAACTGCATATTAAATTAAAATATTGTAATATTTTTATTAGCAATTTTTCGAGCAAAATATCGCTACCAAAATAAGGCAAATAAATCATACAAATCAAACAACACATTTTTTAATTGCCGATAAGGATTCCTAGCGGTATCCGAATAGTTTCCTTATAAGAAAGTTAGCAAATTGGCAATTTAAAGAAAAATTCATAGGTATATTTGCAAAAAAACTTTTAAAAACATTATTCTGAAAACAAGTGGCAATTGCATATATTTCTGAAACAACAATGAATTTATTGTTTCTATATAAGAAGGCGAAACATGACATGACGTTGTGAACCTGTAATGTTACCTTTTAAACAATTATTTCCGTTCGTTTATTTTTTTCAAAATAAATTTACTTATTACTTCAATAATTATATATGATTAAATAGTATAATAATATTTAATTTTCATATAATTATTATAACTAATTACCACGAAATTTTTTCAGTGTATATTAATGTTCATATATTTTAGTTCAAAGATAAAAAAGATGTGTAATACTCTTAATTATATTATTATATAATAATTATTTGTTATCGTAAAATTGTTATAATCAATTAAATAAATTACATTAGAATTCATTGCAATAATAATACACCGTCATATAATAATTGAATAACAATTAGCAGCAATAACAATTATTATAATAATAAGCACAATTAACAATTATTAAAACAATTATTATACAATAATTATGAAATTATGATACAACAAAATTTATCATAGAATAAGAGTTATTTATTACACTTTTTCATTAAAGTATGTATATAAAGCAAAATTAAGCTTTGAAAACACTTATATTTTTACGAAATATAAATGCGCAAAATTAAACACTATGTAATCAAACAGTTAATGACAAATGGCGATCAGCATATTATCTTATATTACTTATAAGTATTACTTAAAATTATTATACTAGCACCTTTATTATGTGCTGTTTAACGCAGTGAAAATAAATAGGGAAACACTAAGTACGGGAAAAATCCCTACCACATGTTTCATGTCCCATCCACATTATTTCGTCAATAATTCGGTTCGAACGACGCATTCGTGTTTGTTCTCATGGTCGCGGCTGGAGCGGTTAAACTATAGCTTCGAATAAGGGATTGTTATAAACAAGCACTAGATTCCTTGCATTATGAAAGTCTTGATTTTACTTACCGACAACAATCAGATCCGTTTCTATTCGTTCTTGGCCAATGCTGTTGTTAACAAGGCACACATACTTTCCACTGTCAATTACCAGGGCTCTGCGGAATACTAAAGTTCCTCCCATAAGGAACATTCTTTGACTGGGAACAATTGTTGTCGTCCGTCCCGATTCTTGTTTATACCATCTATGGGATGGCACTGGATAAGCCTCAGCTGCACATGGTAGGAATGCAGTTTCTCCAAGATGCACTTTGACTTCTTCTTCTCTGTGCGTGATTCTTGGAGGCACAGTACTATGGGATTCTGTCCAATAATAAAAAAGTGTTTTAATATAATATTTAATGAAACCAGTAAATTAAAAGTAACAAATCTTCTTCTGAATGACAGTAGCCATTTAATCCATTTTAGTTTGAAAATACAATTTCTCAACAGCAACAACAAAAAAATGCAGCTTATTAATGATAACTGTTCTAATCTAAAAGAAAACGGCTAATAAAATGTCTTCCTTATTTAGGAATTTGTTTTATTTTATCCTAAAAATTCTGAAACTAATTCTTTTATTAAAAATATTATTGAAAGAGATTTTAAAATTATTTAAAAATCGTATACATACATTTGTATTCATTTTGTAAAAGGAGAAGATTATTTTTGCAATGGTCTGCAACTAGAGTCTGACGCAAAATATTTAATTGGTATAATATATAGTTTTATTCGGAGACCGGTGCTACAACTGTTCTACTTGGAAATATGCATTGCAATTCTCGTACTGTCATTAATGTTATTTTTACGCATGATTTCTGTGAAACAGTGGCTAGTTAATATAGTGATGCTGAAGGAAGAAAATGTTTTATTATGTTTTCTTCTGTTGTCCTTCAGAGTGAGTCAAACCTGTCAAGATTAGAGGATTACGCAAGCCATTGGAGATATTCAAGGTCACTTAAATGTTGTTCAAATCATTTTTTCGAAATATGTGCTGCCTCTTTACCATTTTAATCCATGGAACTCCTCTCCAGGTAAAACCTTTAAAAAATTTAATGCACATGATTCTCTACAATATGTCAATGGATCTTGGCAACGATGGTACCATCAAGATAATTAGTGGTCCTAGGAACTTCAACGATACCGCAGCTCAAACCACCATTGATCCATCTCTATGACTCAATATTACACGAGAGATCACACGCGTTTAAAGGAGTTTCCCACGTATAAGTTGTTCTACAGAAGCTAGCAAGAATGAAAGGTGATTCACCGCTAAGTAATATACATTTTAAATATCTCTAGCCCAAGTTTCGCGCCATTGACTTACACCAGTTAAATCGATGTTTAGCATAAATACCAGCTATCGACGGTTTTGTTCGAACTGTTGGACCGTGAATATTGACATGCCGTAGCTTCCCACGAAGAGTTTCATTTTTCATTCAAAACATGTCATGACATACAACTGTTAAATTCTACCGTAATTTGCTAAGATGCAGTTTTATGTTTACTAGACAAAATTATTTTCATCATCCTTGATACGTTTTCAGATAACAACGTCTTATGTCGGTAATTACTCCAATTGGATAAATTTTATATTCCTTTGAAATACATTCCATACCGCAAGAAATCCAAAATTCATATGCTGATGCTAAAATTGAAAATCATTTTAGATTCCTAATCGGATGTACACTGAAAAAAAGAAGGGGGGGGCAGTTCTATATCTTTCGCTCTACTGGGGCGATTGACGAAATTAAACTTGCGTGTTTCATATCTCGAAAGCTCGACTTGAGATATGTATTAGATTTATATATAGCGCTGCTCTAATATAGGTATTTTCCAGCAAAATCGGACTTTTTTCTGAAATGACATGTCAATGTTTCTCCATCTTTTCATTCTACGGCTCGCCCACCAGCGGCTGAGCAGTAAAGTCGCTGAACACTGGTAGTTCTGTCCGAGGTTCGAATTCCGCGAACGGGGCTGGCTGCATGGGCGTTTTCCTGGTTTTCCCCATGCGTAACGTGTATACGAGCCAGTTTCTCTTAAAATGTCTTCCACGAAGGTATCCCTCTTCTTAGGCAGATAGCCCTCGATGCTTTGCCATAATCACACACACACATTCTACGACTCAAATTTTGCCAAACTACCAAATTTTATAAAAACCGCACAAATAGTTTTAAAAAGAATTAGTGCTTAAAATTTTAGCTGCTTAATGTTAATTGAATTCAATATATTGTTACGAATTTGGTATTTAAAAAGCTAATGTTAGTTTAATTATAAATTAAATGGTTTTATTTCTCGCGCAGTGCAGCGCGTGACGAATATTAAAAGAAAGCTAAGCCGGAAAATTGAAAGTACAAGAGCGCGTGCATTAAATAAATAAATATCTCTTTTTGATTTCGAGAAAGTACTGAAAAATTCTAGCGCGTGATTTTAAAATCTTATAAAAGGAGGACAACATCTCAGTTTGTAGTAGTTGCTTAGTTTGTTGTTGTTTAGAGAAACTACTGTTGTTGATTGTAGCGAATTCGCGGATTAGCGTTCTTTAGCTGTTTTGAATTACGTTCTATTGGACATTTGAGTAGTTAAAAGAAAACTACTGTGAGATATTGTAATACTGCATGATAATTTGAGAAAATTTAAGCATTTTTGTTGTGATAATAATAAATTTTTGTTCATTTTTCATCGTACTTGTGCATTCATTTCATAACGAACCTGTACGCACGCAACAATATATTTATTAATATCTTTTTTCTTAATTAAACTTACTTGATTCCTTCTTCCTGAATTCGAAGTTTAGGCTTAATCCAAATATAATTCGCACATTTTTTTATAATTTAATTTTTAAATTTGTATTTTTAATTATTTTTTATTAATTTTTGGAAAAAAAATTATTGCAACGTATAAAATTTTTAACGTCGACTTAAAGAAGATGTATTTCTAGACACATCTGCAAAAAATTAGATTGTTTCTATCAAAATTTTCTAAGGTATACATAAATTTTCCTATGGGAGCATTTTTAGGCAGTTTGTTAAAATTATTTAAAAGTATGAACGATGACTTTCCTCCCCGCTTGTCTACAATTCAAAGAAGGAAAGGAAAATTGGCGAAAACTGAAAAAGTGCACCAAGATAAATTTTTGAATTCCTCCGTAAATTTCGCACCGTATTTTACAAAATTGAATATTTAGGCATAATTTGAGTCGTAGAATCGAAATATGGAAAAACATTGGCATGTCATTTCCGGACATTTTGTGTCAAAATCGGACTATGTCAAAATGATGCTATATGTAAATCTAGTATATATCCCAAGTTGCACTTTCGAGACATGAAAAACACAATTTGAATTTCGTCAATTGGCAATTGGCCCAGTAGAAAGAGAGATATAGAACTTTTTTTTTTTTTTTTTTTTTTGGCTGTGTACGTCTGCTGCTTGAAATTCAGGGTGCTATGTTTTTCCAGTGTATTAAATGGTAAGCGATAAAAAGTGTTTATTATAACGACTCGATTTAGTAAGTATTGCTTGAAAGGAAACATCTGCCGTGATCACTGTCTGCCCTTTCCTCTATGGCAGGGGGTTCTCAACCGGTGGTACGCAAAGAAAAAGTATTTTTAACAATTATATTGAAAAATCTCGCGAAGAAAAAGAAAAATTGCTTGAAATTTCTGTGATCGAAACTCGAACAGAAGATTTCAAAAATAATACACTTGTTAATTTTTGTCTGAACCGAAAAATAACTTTAAAGGCATTTCAAATAAAGCTGTTAGATTTTTATTGCCTTTTTGCACAACCTATTTGTGTGAACAAGGCTTTTCTTCCATGGTATATTTGAAAAATAAACACAGAACAAAATTAAAAGTGGATTCAAATTTACGGTTAAAACTAAGATCTCTCTTAAACAAGCCCAAATTTCACACTCAAGTTAAAAGTGTAACACCATTAAAGTATTATAAAATTTGATAATTAAACTGGTAATAAATTTTTAATTTAATATTTTTATGTGTGCATATTTAATACGAATAGCCATAGATTGTGCAAATGGCAATATATTCTTTTATAGTTTGGTTTCTTTTCTTAATATATATATATATATATATATATATATATATAATATATATTTTAAATATATAAGTAGTAGAATAACTAGATTTCGCACTAAGTGAATTTAAGATCATACAACATATATCAATATTATATATATATATATATATATATATATTGAGAAAGTGAAAAATAATCATTGTAAAATGTGGCGGTGGTGTTGGTACTAAGTTTTCTCATTTTTGTTTACTAGACGACGCGTTAATCAAGAGGTTGAAAAACGTTGAATTACTCGATATTAATATAACTGAAAGTGTGCTTCTAAATGTTATGATCAAGAAATTCGCGCATATAGTGAATGAAACAGATTAGAGGTAAGACACACCCGATTTTGTACTGCTATATTTAGTTGTTTCAATACCTATTTACAAGCAATTTGTTGTAAGCACAGCATTAACAAGTAGTATAATTTTTTGAAGTCAATTCCTACTTAGGTCAGCAAAGAAAAAATGATATTTTAGTGACTTTTATTAACATTAGCAAAATTTTTTCGTTTTTAATTTATGAAGCTGATGATGGTCTATAATTTTTCATTCTATCCATTTCTTGTAATGCTTCATTATTGCAAGGAACCTTTCCAGTGAATTTCGAGCAGTCCACTTCTTCAATTAATATTCCTTCTAATGATTTCAAACGACTGAAGTGACATATGCTTGACCTGCTGCGAAGAGGTTTCGTCCTATATATATTACTGCATAATATACAAGCTATTTATTAATTTTAATAAGCAAGGGACACTTTAAAGGGTTGTATTTTAAACATATATTATTATCACGTTAACATAAAAATATGGGGAAGATTGCCGCTACATAATGGGATATTCAATCTATCTTACCCATGTGTCTTCCATGTTATATTTTAAAATTAAATGCAGAACAAAAATTAAAAGTGGGTCCTAATTCACGGTTAAAACTAAGTGAAATAAGACCAGACACAAAGAAATTTGGCCCACCAGCGGCCGAGCGGTAAAAGACGCTGAACACTGGTAGTTCGGTCCGAGGTTCGAATCCCGCGAACGGGCTGGCTGCATGGGCGTTTTCGTGGTTTTCCCCATGTGTAACGTGTATACGAGCCAGTTTCCCTTAGAAAGTCCTCCACGAAAGGCATCCCTCCCCTTAGGCAGATAGCCCTAGTGTGCTTTGCCATAATTAAATACACCACCAAAGAAATTTGTCTCTCTTAAACAGGCCCAAATTTCGCACAAATCTTTAAGAATTAATATATTTCAACTTAAATTTTGATAATAAAAATGGTAAGCCATTTTTAATCTAAAATATCTTTTATATATGGATATTTAATAAAAATAGCCAATAGGTTGTGCAAATAGCAATATATATTTATTTTTAATATTTCTATTGAGAAATTAAAAACTAATCATTGTAAAATGTAGCGGTGGTGCTTTCTGGTTTTAATTTAGATGGTTAGTCGAAAGGTTGAGAACCACCGCTCTGTGGTATTCACTATTACACTATGATGCCGAGTGGGCGGAATATTGATTATGATTTAGTATTAAATACCTAAGAAGTTGGCCTCCAACAAATATTTGGAAAATACAAATTTGATTAAAGCTGAATTATTTTCTGAAGAAGTTTAATTTATAGTAAAGTTAAAAGAATCTTTGCATTTGAAAACTAAGAAAGGTAAACTACATCTATTACTCTTTATAAAATTCCTGCCTAATGTTATACAATTTTAGTAAATTTTTCAATTTCAGTAATATTTAATATAAATATCATATAAATAGATATTCAAATATAATTTGTTTGAAATAAAATGAGATGATTACCTGTCACAATGAGTTTTCCTGCTGAACTCTGCTTGGTTTCACCGGTTAATCTGTGCTTTGTTTGACATCTATAATTTCGAAATCCATCTTGTTGTTTAACTTCTCTTATGTGCAGTTTTCCAGATGGAAATACACTATATTTACCACCTAAAAAGCATAAAATTAACATCACAACATTTTCATTCTGTATTTTCAAATTTCCACATTTTATTAAATTTTCATATCTGTTTTATACATTTCAGGTATGTGCAAAATATTTTGAGGTTCAAAATGAACGAATGCCTTATGTTTTCTAATGCATGTATTAGCTCTAAATGTGTGACATATCCCATATTATTGTCAGCAATTGCTGGTATCAAATATGGTCATTTACTGGTTCACTTTAGTATATTGTTCTATTCCTGACTGTGAAGAAAGTTGTCGTAATCTGTTAGAATAACATTTGGGTAAAACGAATTGTGCTGCTACCTATAAAAAGTGCGCACCGAGTATAAAGTCTTGAATTGCTTCGTTTGAGTACTAATTACTGACGAGTAACCTAAAATCCAACCAGACTCTTTCAAAAGCTTTTGTGGAAAAAATCGTTGTGTTTCTGTGGATCTTAGAGATTAATCTGGGCTGCAAGAATCTTACGCCATTTGTGCGGCTTACAGTGAATTCCTTTTTCATCGCCAGTGCCCATTTGGAGCAGAAAATACAGATGAATTCTTCCGTAAAATTTTCAAATATATAAATATTTAGCTCTCTCTCTTGGTCATTTTTCGATAATTCTTATGACATTAAACTGTCCAATTTTGTCACAAACCTCAAGCCAGCGATACGCCTCTGAATTATCTCCGACTGAATCCTAATCTGTTCCGTATTCTGCCCGTAATGGTTCTGCCCCAATAATGTAGTCGTGCTATCAGGGAATTGCAACAAGTCCTTGCCTTTCAATTCCTAAGGGCTTGCTAACCTTCGTTAGTCTTCGAACTGCTCCTTTTTAGCATGAAATGATCAAAGTCTATTTGGCATGTTCGTTGTGTACTATTGCCACACGTATCTTTCGATGTATTTCTGGGGAAGTGTATCTAAAAAATGAAAAGTAAAATATAAATAAACGTAATGTGTCAAGAGTTTTCTCTGATGGACTTAGTTCTGTTTCTGTCGCTTATTACTCAACAATAACATGCAATACCAACTAATGAATGCATAAAAGAAGTTTTCGAGACCAAACTGATTGCACAGTAATATCGGAAAATATTTTGCACATACTTCACTGTTTAAATTTTCTAAGCAGTTTAATATTTTTTGCACTAAAGCTTTCACGTTATTCACAAAGAATTACATTATCAAACTTATTATATGAAAACTTATTATATTTGCCTAGGATTTTGGAAGAATAACTCTTAAAAGTTAAATATCTTAGCACGTTTAGTTTACTGAATTATAACTGGGCTTTTGAATTTGTAGAGTCATTACGTTATTTTGAAACAGGAGACATGAAAAATGAGCAAAGCTCTCTTCGAGACTCGAACCTGTACATCTCGTTTACGCGCCGAGTGTCGTAATCGTTACACCACGAAAGCATGCTGGAAGAAGGGTGAAAATACCCCTTTTCAAAAAGCGACTAGGGATTAGGGAACCCAATCGCCAAATCCTGGGGTGAAGAACACTTATCCACCATCCCTCTTCGGGCGCCACTATAGAGTCATTAGGTAAATTTTCAGCATGAGTACATGAAAGATGAGGAATGCGCTCGCTGGGATTCGAACCTGGATCTCTCTCTCGAATACGCGCTGAGTATGCTACCATTAGACCACGAAGGCATGCAGAAAGGAGGGAGAAAATTCCTTATAAAAATAATGTTTACGTTCAATGTTTACGAATGTTTAAGAAGGGAGAAGATACCACATTTTAAAGGGCGACTAGGAACTAGGAGACCCATTAGCCAAATCCTGGGGGTGAAGAATGATCATCCACCGCCTTGTTTTTAGTTCGGGCGCTACTGCAGAGAGATTAGATATTTTTGAAGCCGGAGACATGAAAAATGAGCAATGCCTTTGTCGGGACTCGAACCAGGACTTCTTGAATACGCGTCGATTGTGCTAACCGTTACACCAGGAAGGAATGCAGAAAGGAGGGAGAAAATAATTTACAACTTTAAAATTTAATCTTGGCTTAAATAGATAGTGAGATCTGGTAGAAAAAGCCTTTTGTGTTTTCCTATTGTTTCTACTGTTGCTTCAAAAAATAACTCTAAGCCAGCTAAAGGTAGCTTTCATGACATTTTCCAAGAAAGATTATTACTCCGAATCTAAAATTTTCGATTTCTTGTCTACTTCTAGAGTCTTTGAACTAATTTTGAGATTAGCTCGAATTAGTTTCCTGTATAGTAATTCTTATGGCTTCCAAATAATGGTAATGATCGAAATTTCTCAAACATGACGATATTTTTTTCAGAATGTGTTACATTATTAGTCCAAAGGGGCTTTGTCCCTGAAGGGCTATTGTTTTCATTTTGCAATTTTGCGTTGAATCACTATAAATGTCCGTTTCACTTTTCAAACTGTTGCCACCAAATGTTAGAGTCTTGCATTATACACTCATGTCCATAAATTAAGGATAATGCAAAATCAGGAAAAGGAAGAGTTAGAAGCAAAACAAATTTGATTATTTGTAAAGCTTATTTATTAAACAAAAGGTAAAAAGCAAAAAAAAAAAAAAGATGTTATATGTTTGATATTATTAAAAAAATTAGCGGTTTTTTCTCCCTGGAGCAAATTACAAAAAAAACTTATTTACAAAAAACCAATATTACATGGTTGGTATGATTGTTAATACATTGTATGTCTCCCAGACGATGCAATACAGTCCGTACAACGCCTAGGCATGCTGAGTATCAAATTATCGATCTGATCTTGGGGGATATTACACCACTCAAAAAGCAATGCTCTCCGAAGTTCCGGTAGACATGTAGGAGGAGGTTGACGGGCTGCAACTCGTCGGCCAAGCATGTCCTACACGTGCTCTACTGGATTCAAGGCCGGTGAGAATGCTGGCCAGTCTGTACGGGTGTGATATCCTCCGATTGAAGGCATTCGCTTACGATGTTTTGCACGGTGAGGGCGGCGATTGTCATTCCATTAACACAAATGTGTGCCCCCTGGCGCCCCGAAACAAACGTACATGTTGTGTCCAGAATGACGTCCCGATAGATATGGCTTGTCATGATTCCAATTTGAACATGAAGGTCAGTTCTGGAGCACCAGAATAATTCCACCCCAAACGAGCACTCCTACACCACCGTAACGGTGTCGTTCAATGATGCTTTTCTTCGGTGGTAACGAATACCTGGAGCTCTCCATATGAAAGTCCGGCGAGAATCAGACTGCAAGCTAAACCTGGACTCGTCGGAAAACATCACACAAGCCCACTGTTGCGGTGTCCACAATGCATGCTCTCTACTCCAGGCTAACCGCAGGCGACAGTGAGTTGCAGTAAGTGGAACGCATCTGACAGGTCTACGAACATATAAGACCAATCTGCCCTAAGCGTCTGTACACGGTCTGCCTTTGAAATTGTCGTACCAGTGGCTGAAGAGAGCTGACGAGGCAGGTCTGAGGCTGTGCTCCACCTGTTTGTTTTGGCAGTAACTGCCAAATAACCGGTCCTCATTCAGCGTTGTAACTCTGGGGCGACCTGTGCTGTAACGTCTACTCACATTACCATCATCTTGGAATCGTTGCCAAAGCCTGGACTCTCTGGCCAATTCCAAATTCGTCTGATACTTCCAGTTGGGTACGCCCGCATTCCAGACGGCTGATAATTCTACCACGTAAAAAATCGTCCAAATGCGTCCTCTGTGTCATAACTATTCGGTCATTGCTCTGAAATGCTTATAAAGCGCCTGCGAACAATTTTACTTCTTTGCCTGTATTCCTTATATATCACTCTCTTACACTCTCGTCATTGTGACTACCATCGGTGTCATCTGGTTACTTCCTGAAATTTGCATATGATTCTTAAAGATGTGTGTAGTGATTTTACAGGTGATATATTTATTTTAGAATTCGATTTCCGCGTGACTCCGAATTATCCTTAATTTATGGCCATGAGTGTATTTGAAGAATTTAAATAATTAAAAACTGCATAATTGTATGTCTATTTCTCGCATTGTGATAAAACAACGGTACATAGAGCCATCGAATTTTGAATGACGTAACCCTTCTACGAATATGGGCATGTTCAAAGCCAAATTTGAAATTCGGAATTTGTTTTATTATAGGTTTCATATTTTATAAATTTTTAACGAATTTTTGAGTAACAAACTCAACGATTTAAAAGCGAGCAATAGCAACACTCAAAAAAAAAAAAAAAAAAAAAAAAAAAAAAAAAAAAAAAAAACTTTTTATCTCCAGCGGGCGCGGAACTGTGTAACGTAAATTCTAAAGATATACTATTTTTAAAATTATTTTGCGACACTGCTACTAAACTGAATTTTAGGGTTTAAGTGCAAAGAACATGATATTTAATAAATAAAGGTAACGCACAAAACGTTAAGAAAACGCCCCTTTGGACGTAATTTAAAATATTCTCCTTTTCTGAACAGAACTATGAAAACGAATTTCATTATAATTTCACAATAGCTTTTAATTTATATTGCTTTATTTTGTCCCATATTGCTTTTGACTATTTCTTGAAAATGCAAAGGATATGTTTTTCAAAATAAAATTTCTTTATTCTTATTTATCTTTCTTTACACAATGGAGCAACTTGATAATTAGGTTTTACATTAACTTACTCTTGAAGAGTCTATGCTTAAAGGGAAGTATGCTTTCGTGTAGGACTTTCTAAGAGAAACTGCCTCGTATGCACCATTAAGACATTTAAATATGGTATAATACGACATAAAACACCTATGATTTGCTATACTAGTGTTTTCAATAACAGGGTTGTATGTTGGTAGTCTACAAACACTCCCTACTTAAAAGAATTAATAAATTTAAATGAAAAATAAAACCTTATTGAAAAAAAATTATAGAATTTATCTAAAACGTTTATATAAAAACATAGAAGCGCTGATTAAAAGATAGTTGAAAATTTCCAGCTAGATAAAATTATAAGAATTTGGGCTGGTATAAGTAGATTGTGATAACTTCATACAT